AATTGAACATGTTTCATTTTCTAATACAGAGAAGCAAAGCCGAATGAAGTAAAACTAGTTGACAGCCCCATGATTCTTGAAAAGAAAATTACAAAAATAATGAACCCACGAGAGAGAACATTGAACATCGTTACAAGTGCATTCATCAAATGACAATTAAGAGAGATAAATAATGACGTCGCACGAAGAAGGGAGATCTCTGTGTTTTTTTTTTTTTTGGATATGGTAACATGTTGACTCAAACCCAAACTATAAGATTGGAGGTGGAGGGTGCTTTCTAGTTGAGCTACCCTCTCTTGTCAATCACATAAGCATCAAAGTTTATATCTATGTGCTCAGGCTCTTCAAAAATATCATTGGGTGTGTGACGGTCTGACGGAACTTCCAAAAGCAATGCATTTTTGGAGGATTACAAGTGTGACAACAGTTTTGAAGAGTTCGAGCGGCATAAGGTTTATATATAGATTCCAGCACATTACTTACTCTCCAAAATGTGAAACTTCGAAAGTATAGAATATATATAGCAAATCTACATCACATTGATCCAAAAAGAAGCATTTCTATGTTTCATCTATAAGACAAAATTAGATAATTATAAGGATTAGATACGGGATTTGTGAGGCTAGGATAGTATTCACAAAGCATAGTTGTTGACATTACAAATGAAATTTTTTGACAGAAAAGTCAACTAAGACACTTCCAAATTTAGATTATTTATCAACAGACCTGATCGAAAAATATTTAAGCCTCTTAGAGTAGGTTCAGATATAAAGCACGCAATTATGCATATATTTCATACTTTATGAGGAAGTCAAGCAGATGTAATAGCATAAGCACTATGTTCAACTAGTCAAGCAAATCGTAAAATTCCTCAGCAAAAAGATAATCTTATAGGTATCGCACACTTTGCATTAGTAATTTCTCTATTATATAATCCCTTTGAACATCAAATGATAAAATACAGGAAACATGACAAAGCAAAGTCAGGGAAACATCTTACTACTACCAGGCTTCAAGTCAAACACATGAACTCATGCTGTCATGTTTTGAGGAAATAGTATCATGTTATGTCTTATTTTGCTTTACTTTGTACATGTTTGTGCATATGTAGATGTGTACGGGAGCGCACAGGCGTGTCTCTGTGTGTGTGTGTGTGAGAGAGAGAGAGAGAAAGAGATAAGAGGGAGGCAAACTCACATCATCCAACAGCATACTGTAGCCGTGCTGATCAATGTCAAGTGTAACCTGCATCACAAAATTCAATTAGCTATTAGAAACAAAGACCAAAACTATTTCAGCGGAAAGACACTAACTTAGAATTTAATGCATCATGGGTTGGATCCTGGAGACCTCAGTAGAGTAATTAAGACAAAATTAGCAAAACTAAACAGCAGACCGACAAAAATTGCAATTTGCATTTCAAGTACAATTGCATTTGTTTCTTTCGTCATCTAAAATGCCTGAATCATGAAACACTATACGAGTCAATTTAATTTATAGCAAAAAGAACAATCAAGATCTCCATGATACATAGTAATGATAATATTAGATAATCACTATCCATCAGATTTAATAGTCATTGACCTGGATATGGATCAAAGACTAGAAAACAAAGAAGCCTGGATTAAAGACATACAGTTAATATAAGTGCCTAAAAGAACGATCGAACAGAAATAGCTGATAGCACTAATGAAGCATAAAACAAAACACAATACTGACACCCCACCC